TCAAGATGTCACTGAAGTGTTCCCTACAAAAGACAAGACTTTATTTACATACGGCATATGCACAGTGCAAGTAGAACAATGAATACATTATCTCTAAATGGCAAAGGAGGGGCACGCGGTGCCTTTAAAGCTTGTTCACTTCCCCAAAGCTGCAGATTGGGTTTCCAGTTATTTAATTATCTTTCGTACTCTGCAGTTGACATTTCACATCGGTGATAGAAGGAAAGGTACACTGCCTGTCCAAAAAAAGTCACACACTCTAATATCTCATTGGACCACCTTTAGCTTTGATTATGGCACACATTCACTGTGGAATCGTTTCGATAAGCTTATACAATGTGAAAACATTTATTTCCTTTCAGAGTTGCATTAATTTTTCACCAAGATCTTTTTGGTTTATTTCATTTAGTGTCCTTTGTATTTGTGTTTTCCCCTTTTCTCCAGTTTGTTAGTGTTTTTGAATATAAAACATTTCAGTACAGGCAGTCCCAGAGTTACAAACATCCAATTTACATAATTTACATATGACTTCTTCTTACAAACAGAGGCTATTACTGTACAACAGGTAGTCCCAGGCTGTAGCCAAAGTGTACAATGCAGCATTTCAGTAGTTGTAATCCTACCGCGCTCCTGCCGACGAGGAGTGCCTGCCTTTTTGGGTCTGGTTCGTAGTATTGTACTTACATTACAGGAAGTTAGCTCTTGTTAGATGTGCAGACATGGGGTGCCCCCTCTTCTTCTGAGCCACTGTGATCTGTACCCTCATTAGAAAGATTTACAGAGTTATTCATAAAGCTGTCGAAAGCAGTTGAGAGAATGACCGAGCTGAAGTGAAGTGAGCCGAACGCTGTTCGGCTATCCACTTCAGTCTTGTACGGCTGATTTACCGTACATTGGCTGCCTTCGATCAGCCGAACATGCCCTAGATGTTCGGCTGAGCCAAAGTGCAGAAGCACTTCAACTCAGCCGATCCAACATCTGGATCGGCTGAGCCGAAGCTCCGGGCAGCTCACTCGCTGTCGTTCGCCCCTATTCTCATAGGGGTCGAACGGCAGTGTGTGAATAGCCAAATCCTGCCGAGCGGCATTCGGCTTGGCTATTTTGCTCTATACCTCCGAGGTAGCAGAATAGAAAAGAAGTAAAAAGAAAGTTAATTTCAAAAAAAAAAAAGTTGCAACATTATTTAAAAAAAATATATTATTTAACAAAATAGGAACATTTAAAAAATAAATATTTTAAAGAAATGAAAAATGAAAAAATAAAAACAACCAATTGGGTGGAGATAGCAGCGCCCAACTCTTTCCTATTGGCCGGAACCTGCCAGAGTCTTCTAGCAGGTCCCGGCCAATGAATAACAATTGGGCGGAGCCGGCCGTGACGTCACGGCCGGCTCTGCCCAGTTGGTATTGTTTATTGACAGAGCAATGTCCCCTGGTGATTTGGGGACGCTGATCTGTCATTACAACTGGGCGGAGCACTGCTTGCTATGTCCAGCTGTCATTTGCGGCCCTTCGGCAGGCCTTCTCCCTGCTTCGGTTGTCACTTAGGCTCAGTCGAGCCGAAGCATATGCCTTTGGCTCAGCTGCCTTCGACTGCTGTACATTCTATTTGTGAATAGCCCGTACAGCAGCCCTTCGGATCGGCTGAACCGAAGGGCAGAGGCGCCCAATGCGAGCCGAAGGATCAGCCCAAGCTACGGCTGTATCCTTTGGCTCTTTAGTGAATAACCCCCTTAATCTCACTTTATGTCCTTGAGACAACAGGAAGTGAGAGGAAATCTACCCCCAGGAAGGGAAATTCACTCCTGTAAGAGTTATCATGGGAAAATGATGTCTCCACTGAACCTTTATATTTATTCACAACAACCCACAATTTTCCAGAAAGTGAGGGGAAAACCTTCTGAACAGGGGCGCACACACAGCAAAACAAACATTACAGGGGGTTAACCCTTCCCTATGCTATCCAAAACGAAAAAACATTTTACAGGGTAAAAAATATGTCATGTTATCATGATGTAATGTGGCATTACAATTTTTAGACCAATTTATTTTTGTTCAGCTAAAAATACTATATTAGTCTTAATCTGGTTTTCGACCAGCCCCTCAACATCTTAACCTGGTCTGGTCTATTAGGATCCTAGAAACACCCTGGTGCTGCACTCCAGGAAGGGACAATATTTTAGCACAACGGATCCATATTTCCACTACCAGGATAGTGATTTTTGATACATTTCTCAGGAGCTCAAATCAACCAATAAGAATTCACATTTTGCTAATCTGATTTCAGTAAACTGAAATCTGATTGGTTGCCCTGGTTTCAAGAAACAGATTGCCACAGTCGGGTTAGAAGTCCTCTATCTGAGAAAGCTGCAAGTACGTCTTTCTATCATTTTTGGAGCCTACTACATCCTGGGTGTCCTGCAGTGGCGTAACAACCGGGGGTGCAGCAGGGGCGCGGGCACCGGGCGAAAAGTGAAGTCTTGTGTCCTGTGTCCTAACCCTCTCTCCAAAAGTTCTATAATAAAGGTGAATCAGCATTGCACCTTCTGTGTGGACTTCAGTTCTATTGGTCACCAATGGAAGGTTGGTAAGTTCTTTTGGGGCAGAAACACTACTGTAAACCCTAGACAGTATCCAGCAGCTCCTTCAGGAGCTATAAAAAAGAAATATTGATGGACTCATTAAAAAGTAGATAATGACACAATGTGCCAAAGCTGCATTATGCATAAAATGTAGCCAATACTCCCTTCCTGGGTGCATCTGCTATGGATACTCACCTGCATGCTATCACAAAAAAGGCTTAAAAGGTGCTTTTCTTTAGTATTAATTACATGGATTCTCGGTGACAAGGAGTAGTGTGCTGGTAAAAGCCAGATCCTCATTGGGTAGTAGAGGCTATAACATTTGAAAGCTGAATGACACAGTGTGAGGCTTCTGAGGGGCTCAAGGGGTGGAGTTAAATATCATCTTTAAAGCTGACCTTCGGGAAAATAAAATATTGTCTAAATATAAGAGTTTTGTGTATTGTTACGGGAATCTTGGTGAGCGTTGTGTATTTCTTCCAGATCTGTGCAGTCATCCAGTGAAAGACTTTGCCTCTGTGCAGGAGCTTCCTGTAACATAGACCACTGACTCTCTCTCTTTTTGTGCATAATGACTGGTCTTGTTTCTGCCTCCTCCTGAAGTTTTATGCAGCTCTCTGCACAGGCTACATACTCATATCCGGGCTTGTGAAAGCATTTGGTGCACACAAGTTGGATGTATATCCTTTGCAGCTATTGAGGAATATACACTGCCTGGCCAAAAGTAGCCACCTGCATTTGGCTAAGCAAATAGGTAAGAGGCTACCACTGAATGATACCTCTAGGTTCAGCAATGTTATGTGCCCAAAACATGTGGTCAGCTGAATATACTGAATGACCAGATTAAGGCTCAAACTACATAGCAGGATATACACTGTCCACCTGGATTTAGCTAAGGAGATAGGTCTTTTGTGTGGACTTCCATTGGATAATAGGTCTAGGTTCAGCAACGTTATGTCCCCAAAAATGAGGTCAGCTGCCTACCTGAATATACTGAATGACCAGGTTTTTCCATCAATTGATTTTTTCTTCCCTGATGGTACATTGGACATATTCCAATATGACAATGCCAGGATTCATCGGGCTCAGCTTGTGAAAGAGTGGTTCAGGGAGCATGAGACATAATTTTCACACATGGATTGGCCACCACAGAGTCCAGACCATAACCCCATTGAGAATCTTTGGGATGTGCTGGAGAAGACTTTACACAGTGGTCAGACTCTCTCATCATCACTACAAGATCTGGGTGAAAGATTAATACAGCTCTGGATGGAAATAAATGTTGTGACATTGCATAAGATTATTGAAACAATGCCACGTAGAATATGTGCCATAATTAACGCTAAAGGCGGTCCAATGAAATATTAGAGCGTGTGACGTTTTTTGGCCAGGCAGTGTGGTTAGATGAAAGTTTTAATGTCTGAAGTTCATCTTTCAGAGCAGTCAAGGACATGTGTACTGTCTGGCACTATGATTAACAGGGCTTTACAGGGATTGATTTGAAGACCAACACAGGGACTTGAAGGCAGTTCAGCACGGTTGTTACCTTTCTGGCACTCTTTAGGCCAGGTCATGTCCTTCTTAAGAAATTTTGTGAAAATGTTTGTATCCTAAAAAGTG